ACTAAGCATGCTCACCCCTATTTTTCATTTAATAATCAATTTATTTGAATTTTGAATTTTGTAATATTTAAATGTACTTAGAGACCATAGCAACTTCTATTTATCAAATGAGAACTTCTTTTCTTCTGTAAATTATTTAATGGATAATTTTTATAAACATTTTGACGTATCGAGATCAGATTTTTAATGAGTTATTTAACTATAAAATGTGATCCTTAAATTTATTATTTAAAAATTCTGAAAATTAGAACTTGAATAAATTAGTCATTAAATGGAAAAGTTGGGGTGATCATACTCAGTGAATCGCCCGTCATACTAATATGTAATTATTAGTATTATGTACTCGGGCGTCCTAGACTAATTATTCATTTTAGATGGATCGAACAAATACATTTAATATGTGTATGTATTAATAATATTATAATGCAGTCGTCCATGCAGAGTGCGGTCCACCTCATTTTGCGGTATTCCAACTGTTGCTCGTCCATTCCCACTCGTATATATGTCTGTAGTAAGACATCTTACCTTCCCGCATAATAATATATAACCTATATATTATGTTTAATGTAATATAATACTACAATCGATGCGTAATACTCGGTTCGTCGGCCGGAAAACCGGTCGAAATCGGCGCTGACGACTGTTATACGTATGTTGTATGTAAATATAATGCACGCACGTGGAGTCTTCGATGTCTTCACTGGCTGCTGCCGATGCAGTCGTTATGTGTCCACGGGCGGCGGACGTAATATAACTGCCGCCGTCTCGCTTTGACGTAACGCCAAGCCGATACTCACAATAATAACATAACGATATCATAAGAGTCATGCTTATATAATATAATAATATGTGTGTATACACTCGTCCGAGGAAGTAAAATTCCGATCGTGATGGTAATGGTAGTTACCTACATAATAAAATTAAACGTAGTAAAAGTGAGGTCTAGGCGCGTGTGGTATCTACCTGTCGCGGTGTTCGAGCAACGCATCGTAATACAACTTAAATATATACGTCCTACATCGTAATATGCATGTGACATTCTATAATATGTACGGCGTGTCTTCGTTATTGTTTTTCTACTCTGGGAGTTTCACAGCAACCTTGATCGGGAGTAGGCCAAAACTGAATCCCAAAACCGCTGTTGCGTAGTATCACACCTATATAATATACACATCCATCATAATATAGGACATAGTAATACATCAATGATCCGTATTATTTTATAGTTTAATGATATTGTATGCCGCGGATGTGGATCGGCCGAAAGTGAAAGAAAAATATAAGTATGAGTAAACAAAAAAACCCACGTCGAGTGTTATTTGGTTCAATAATAAGTTTCATAAATTATTCTCGATACTTGATGACGACGATAATAATAATCATGGTAGTGATACAATAATATTATGTACATACGTATCAAACTAATAATTAATAATATTGTTATTAAAAAATTCGAGAGTGCGCGCGTCAAGGGCTAGTGTGTATACATGTGACGATGAAGTGCACCGCGGTCGTTAAAGTATATTTTATTCTTCGGAAGTTTTGGATACGGCTTCATGTACGTGTTAGAAAGAGGGAGTAAGAGAGAGAGAGAGAGAGAGAGTTTGACAAAGCTTGAGAGGCTGACGGGGTACAACGGCCTTGATCGGAATTGGCCACTTGAACATCTTGAGGTGTAACGCGTCTTATCATTATCGCAGCGCGTTTTACTACGTCGACTGTTATTAAAAAACACTTATACACAAATAATAATAATAATAATAATAATAATAATAATTACTTACCGGACGGGCTCGTGGAAATTTTTAAAAATTTTATGCTTGTCAGTCCAATCCTTTGTCGCATGCGTTATTATCACATTATCGTTATAATGTGTTTTAATCGATCGTCCTCGATTCTCGTCGAATTTCCGCCGCCCGTCCAAACGACCGACAAACTTAGAACCCACGCATTGTTATGACAATAAAAATTTCAATTTGTAAATTATAACGATAATGATAATAACGTTAATAATAATTTATTGCTGTTTATTAAAATATTCGTATATTTGTGGTGTTTGTTTGCTTTTCATGGATATTCGCTTATCGAATCGAGACAGCAGGTATATCTAAGCAGTTGTACCTACAGATGATAAACAGAAATAATTGTTAATGTCGCGTCAGTATTTTTTTTTCACCCACTACAATACCCACTTATATTATTATAACATTTTACTATACAGGGTGATTTATCGAGCAAACTCAAATTCTAATCTTTAAATTTATTTAAAAATTGGATATTTTTTGTTCTACTAAAGGAAACAAGGGATATGCTGTGGCAACAACAAACTTCTATTTTTTTTTAACTAGAAATTTTTTTCCTATAAACTACTCAGTAGATTATTTATTTTTATTTTTTGAATTTTGATGCATCTAATTCAATATTTATACGAATAGTTTTTCAGTTATCAACATTTTGTACTAAAAATAACGGTTATTAAATAAAGTTGTACAGAAACATATAATAAATATAATATTGGATCTAGTGTTTTTTATACTAGGATCATTTTTACAAATTATAAATGTTGATAGATAAATATTGATTACCAACATTTTTAACTTATTTTAGCCCCAATATTTTCATAGTCCATAATTATGGACCTATATTATCCTTAAAACATATAAAGTTAAATAACTAAATACCAATCTTTCTAATTTCAATTTAGATAAGTCAACATTTTTAAAAAAAATGTTCCGATAAAATAGAAAAAGGGGGGCTTTAAATTTAGAAAAATATAAGTTCATATATCCACAAGAGTACATCCATTAAATAGAACAAATGTTTCAAGAATTTTTTGACGTGTTCTTTAATTAAAAATGTCAAAAATCAGATTTTGAATAACTGTAATATTGAAGAAAAAGGGGTGTGTGTGCTTGATGAATCACTCTATATTCCAATGTGCATATTATAAACTCGTGACCGTAGTTCGACGATTTACTGTCCGTACATGAAAACTCAACGACGTTTTTATGCGCATACGTTTATTAGCGTCGACTAAGAAACGGTCCAATATATTAAAATACGATGATATAACGGTTGATTCGGTTCTTTTCTTTTCTATTCTCGTAGTTTCATCCGTTCGTCAAACCGTTGGTTTTGAGACGGTCTGCGCGACGACCCGTCTCATCCAACTTACGGGCGTTTATGAATAGGTATGTAGTATAGGTGGCGTTTTTGTCAATTTTTTTTTCGGTTATTGCATCATCGAACTAGTAAAACGTAGAGCTGCATACTCTAATTGAAACCTCAAAATAATATTCAATACCTTTTTTTGGTGTCTAAAGTGATCGCTATATCGATCCGTTGTCGTGCATTGGTAAACTTGATTGGTAGACTTCCGAACCCCGTTAAAACGGTGTTATTTTAATTCATCGCAATAAGATTTTTTACACATTTTAATTCATATTTTCATGCATCATTTGTTCGTTTATATACTGTAATATTTTATAATTTATTAGGACGAAACTGCTGTTGAACCTTCGAACTGGGAACCACTGCCCCACCACAGATTCACCCTCTTTCATCTGATAATTTATGGTTGTAGCGGGATGTTGTCCGTTTAGGTACACATCACAATCAAAATATAATCTCGTCGAGTTTTTTTTTTGCTCATCAACGTATAGGTTGAAAAGTGAAATAATATAATAATAAAATCTTCACGTGTACCTACTACAGTGTGTATAAAAACGAGGTTTGTTCACGTCAAACAATATCTCGGGGGGGGGGGGGGTAAACTTAAAAACAGGTATAATATATAGGTATAGTTCCTGCTAGTGTAGGTATATGGTAGGTATATTTTATTATTAATTCGTTTCGAATATTATTCGTTTATTATTATTTAGTGTTCCGATCTCGTCCGCTTGTACAGTCGCGCGGCGTTTCCGACCAAACACTAAGACGCGCGAGCTCGAGGTAAAATTTTTAAGCTATGTAATAGTAATTTATAATTATTTTACAGTTCCTGTGAGTGTGTATTTTTTTTATTCTCAATTTATTGTTTGCTTTTGTTACACAATGGCACCACGACATCTACTAGACTAGAACATTCTATATTCATATACTATAAACAGTATAAACATTAACTTGTATCAATCGGTTATTGCTAGTTTAATAGGTCAAATTTATTATATTTACGTTCTTCCAAATAACTGTTGAACAATTTTTTTTTCTTTATTATATGCTATTGCACCAATCTAGAAGATGTTTTATTTGTGTGGTTATGCGTCATAAACATCATCAATCTGCGAAATTATTAATTAAAAAGAGAAAAAATGTATATTACAATAAAAAAACATAATATTTTGATTTGTTTAGAATTTTTATTTTATTCCTCTTCGTGCAACAAGTTTGATAAATTAGACAGTATAGGGTAAAATATTTGAACACTCGTGAATTTAAAGTAATACCATGTAATACTAGCTATATTTAACATTTATTTCAACAAGTATTGTGTAACGTTTTCGAAAATACAATTATCAAGTTCATAGAAATAAATTCATATTATGTTCTGTCAGTAATTATAGTCATTATTCGTATTGAGTTTGAATAAATATAAATACTTTGCATTAGTTTTGCCCGAGTTTGTTTTTATTGAATAACATTACTTACCCAAATATTTACAAAATCTTATTGTGTGCAACTGAAATATAACATTTTATATATTACACACTTTACTAGACACGTACTGTTTTAATCGAATAAATGGTATATACAATATACATATACAGAAATGAAAAAAAAAATATTTTACATTCAAATAATAACGGGAAAATACTAGGTAATAAAAATGTTTAATGAATTATCACTTTGAATTGCATTTTATTAAATATAAAAAATGACCTGTAATAAAAAAAAAAAATGTAAATTCCTTATAGTTTACAAGAGAAATAAAACTTATATTATCTGTTCTTACGTATCGTAATATAATATCATTACAATTATTTTTGTTTTATTTTATTCAGATTAACTGCCTCCGCATTAGTAGTTATGTGGAAAGACTTCAAGAAGTTAAAACTTCTACTATGGAAGAATTTACTGATACAAAAGCGACATCCCATCCAGTCGTTCATAGAGCTACTATTACCGGCCATAATGGCGTGCGTGATGGTCATGTTCAGATCTTGGGTACAACCGGTCGAGTTCAACAACGTCACCAGATACGTACCGTTCCCCATATCGGTGCCACCGTTAATATTGGGATACAGACACGGGTAAGTTGTATGTTATTTTTTTGTTGATGGGGAATTTCCAAATAGTATGTTTTTTAGGAGCTTGGATTATATTTTATTGTATTTTAATCAGAGCATGCATTTAGAAAAAAAATGTTGTTTTACGTTATTTACAATTAAAATGTTATACAAATTTTGCGTTTATCATTATTCAGAATTAAAATTTTTAATATATTTTATAAATTATAACTATTAAATAATTGGAAATTAATTATTTCATTTAATGACATACTATATCTTATAATGTTTTGCGTTATGTTTTATTTGATAATATATCATATATTTTGTTAATCGTTAAGTTTTGTTTTGTGTTATATATACCTATAATTATTTATGTTTTTCGTTTTCCGTTTTAATTACGTTTACAAATTTCAATTGGTTTTTTGTTAAATATAACGTTACTATAACGTTTGTAAACCCTGATTTTAACAAACGTATGTGGATGCAAATGATTAATTCTAAAAATTATTTATTCGTATTTCAAAGCGTTTTATACGGTGATATTAAATTAAAAAAATATTAATTAAAGTTATAGGTTAAATATTACATATAAACACGATTATAACTTGTTGTATTATTCTTTGATTTAACTCTAAAAAGTTAAGTAATTGAAATGAATACTTTAACATCTTTAAATATTCAAGTTAAGAAGTTAAAAAATTAATTTTAAAATGTTGCTTCAACTTGTTTACTTGAAAATACCCACCTTTTCGTAAATCTAAATTTACTCGAAGAAGCTATGTATTACCTTTTACCTATTTTGTATTTACATACATTATAATATATGGGTAAATAGTTATTTTCTACAAAAATAGATAAAAAGTGGATACATATCAATTCTTACACGAATATTCTTTACGTTTAAACCAGACTCTTCATTACTAGTTAGATACATATAGTTGATTTGATTAAAGTGCATTAGGATTTTGTATTGATACTATTGTTTATGTTGGTATTATTTTAAAGTATTGAAACTACCATACCATTTTTTATGTTTCTATTATTATTATATTGTTATTATTATCACATATCATAATGCACATTGAACAATATATCTCAACATCACCAAATATCATGGTATTTTATTTAGATTAAAGTCAGTTATTTTATCATGTGTATGAACTTCAATATATTTTGAGTGGTCTAATCTTAATGTGATATTATTTAGGAACTTAAAATTTTGCTAATTAACATAAATCTTTTCCCCCTACACCCCACCACTGGGACAGTAAAAAATGTGATGACGACCTCCTGGTGCGGCACTCGCCGTGTTTTGCAATAATAATAATTCCATAAAACGCCAAAGGCAAAAGAAAAAAAGTGTAATGCTACAATAGGAATTCGGTAATACGAGGAAATGAAATTCAGTGTGATGACTGAATGTATTAGCGTCTCGACGGTGAAAATCATACTGTGAACACAAATAATACTTAATAATAATAATAATAATAATGTTGTTGTTAATTTATTCGTCGTCAATACGATGATGTCTCTAATAAATAATCCACAATACCCTTGAACACAAATATTAATTTTATCATCGCACATAATATATGTACAAGGTAACTATAATACTGTAAATAATAGATGATTCGTTTAACGAGAAAAATATTTTGTAATTGTTTTAGATGGTCCATAGCATGGGCTCCGCAAGACCCGGAATTGGAAAAAATCATGAGCAACGCTTTTGCACACACTCCCAATATAAAGCGTAAGTCGTACGGTACAAAGTCCGCAACAAAATAAAGAAATACATTATTTTTTTTCAGTTGTATCGTTTGAAACCGGCGATAAGATGGAGGAACAGCTGAATCAAGATAACGCGATGAAAAAATTTTTGGTTGGCGTTCGTTTCGATAATATCAAACCGAACACTACGTTACCAAAAAGTACAACTGTAAGTACAATTAAAATAAAACGGTTGTTTTACGCATTTATATCGCATAATACTCAACGTATTGTATACCTATATAATTCAGGATATACTGATATGACTTTCTTGCTTATTTCATTTCATTCTGTGCAGGTAAAGCTGAGATATCCGTGTCATCTTCGAGTAACGAAAAAGAGTCTAATGAGCTTCGACACGATCGAAGCGAACTGGCGGACTTACTTAATGTTTCCTCTGTATCAGACGTTTGGTCCTAGACATAAATCAGAAAACGACGGAGGCGAACCAGGTATAAATCCATAACTACCTTGACAAACAGCATCTCGAAATATGCGTGCACAAATAACCATTATTGATAACATTGGGTCTTGAAATTTTTTTTTGTTTTTAGGTTATTTGTCAGAATCATTTTTGTACATGCAAAACCAGATCTCCAAAGCTTTAATACAATACTGGGCTCCTGACGAGTACGTGCCAGAAATCGAGCTACAGAGGTTCCCATATCCGAAATACATCGAAGACCCATTGTTACCAGCACTTACATCGTTCATATCTACGGTGGTATTACTCAGTTACATTTACACCGCCATCAATACAATAAAAGTGATCTCAGCTGAAAAAGAAATGAAAATGAAGGAAGGTAACTGAATAAATTGAATAAAAATGGTTTTAATATTATACCTATAAGTGGATATCGTTTCTGGAATCGACAATAAATCTATATATTGTTGATTTCCATTACTATAAATTCTAATCGAGTTTATGAGTATGGTGCAACAATTTTTCAAGGGATATATTATAATATCATTTATAACTTAAGGGTGCATGTACGATATTTTTCAATAAATATTTTATTAACCACTGTTGTAGAGTTTAAACCTTTAACATCTTCATCCCTCCATCCCTTACCCTACCACCTTAAGTATTTGCAGTTTTGCCTCAGAAATATTAGTGTAAGTTCTTAACGAGTTCCCTCAGTAAATGATGACTGAAGACTGCGAATACTTTAGTCGATATTAACATTATCATGACTTTTTTTTTGTTTTACAGGAAGCCATGATGCTCATGGGCTTGGATAATTGGTTGCACGCGTGCGCGTGGTATCTAAAGAGTTTCGTCGTATGGATAATACCTCTGTTAATATTGGTGTTTTTTATAACGTTCGATTGGCCTACGGGTGCAGTGTTTCAGTACTCCGACCCGCTGGTACTGATGGTGATACTGACATTGTATGTGACTGCTGGAATATCCTATTGTTTCTTGATATCCGCCTGCTTTAAAAAAGGTAAAACTCGATTACGAGCTTAAGGTTTTTAAAGATATGTACAAATTATATGGTAATATTGTTTGATTTATAAGCAATTATATTATAACTACAACTATAACGCATTTCTAGAGACATTTTGGGATCTGTATATTTTTCAATATTTATTCAAAACACATTGGTTTATTGTAGAAATGTGTTTCTTAATACTTATTAAGTATAAATATTATATTTCAGATTTTATTCATTTTAATTAATGTGCATATTTAACATATAATGTGAAATTTACACTTAATTAATAATTTTTCATTAAACGAGTATTTAAGGTTATAAAGTAACAGTAGTGGGTACTTATTATTTTTAAAATTTATAGATTTTTGAACATATTCAAGTAATTTTTCGTAATTTTTGGAGCTTGTTTAATGATTTTTTTAAGGATAATATATTTGTATATTTAAAGGTTTAAAAAAAATAGGACTTTAGCCCTATATTATACTGTCAACACATGTGGGATTACTAGTTGTCACGAATTGTCATTGTGTTTATAATATAACCGTCCGTAAACAAAATAACAATTACCGTTTCATTAACATATTGTCAAGGTATCATGTCGTACCTAATATTTAATACTTATATAAAAAATATATTAATAACTATGCTATACGATATATTATGTATAATTATATATATTTATGTATACATTCACAAATGACATATTTTAACATGTACTAAATATTTAGACCTTCAAATTTACGTCCATTGCATATAATAAGTGTTAGTATGTGTGTGTATATGTGTGTAAGCGAGATTGAATCTATCGAATTTCTTTGTATGCAATTTTTTTTTTCAGCCAATACAGCGGCGACCGTTGGTGGCGTATTGTGGTTCGGTACTTATGCCCCATTTATGATATTTCAACCTAAATACTCGTCTATGACCAACAGAGAAATTTTGGCGTCGACCATATTGCCAAACACAGCATTGGGATATATTTTCCAGAGTCTTATCATGTTCGAAGGCATTGGCGCCGGACTGACGTGGGAAAATATTACGGTGACGGTGTCTCCGGATGACAAGATGTGCATCGCGGATATAATGCTTATGTTGGTATTTGACTCGATCCTGTACTTATTAATCGCCATATACCTGGAAACGGCTTTCCCGCGCAACAGTGGTTTCCACCCTCCGTGGTATTTCCCGATACTGGTGAGCTTTATTTTATTCTCATTCAATTACTTTTTCATTGAATCTAAATTCGGTTGTTTTTTTCGCTCGTTCATGATTCATATTTTATTGTTAATGCTTTCTTTTACCATGTATGTTATAGCCGTCGTTCTGGTTCGAGAAAAAAGTTAATCCCAAACACATCACCGAAAAATCTGGCATTCATATTCAATCACTCAGCAAAAGTTTTACGCCCGACAGATATGTCGTCAACAAGCTCTCTGTGGATATGCACCCTAATCAAATAACCGTTTTGTTGGGTCACAACGGCGCTGGGAAATCTACCACCATGTCTATGTTAACTGGGCTGATAAGTCCAACATCCGGCACAGCGTTGATAGAGGGATACGATATAAAAACTCATATGAAAACAATACGCCATTCCTTGGGGCTTTGCCCTCAATATAATCTACTCATACCGGATTTAACCGTAGTAGAGCATTTGTATTTTTTCGGAATGGTTAGTATAGCTGCACAATTAAGTAGTAATATTTTATTATTTTAATATTCAAATTGTGTAAATATATAAAATGTAATAAAATATTATTTTTATTTATTTATTAAACGATTTACACTCACTGAGGGGCAAGATTAAAATAATTAACTACTTTAGTATAAAACTTATCAATACATACATAATATTATAATATGATTACTGTTTGTTGGTATTATTTAGTTGAAAGATTTAAACGAACAAGAGCTGAAAAGCGAAATCGATAAGTATACAGCAAAATTCGAACTTGAGTCAATGATTAATACTAAGTCCAAACATCTGAGCGGAGGGATGAAAAGAAAACTTTCGGTTGCCATAGCATTAATTGGAAAATCGAAGGTTCGTGCACGCCGTGGGTTTAATTCAGTGGTTTTCATTCATTATCAATTTAAAAATAACGATTAATCGAATTTGCGTAGGTGGTATTGATGGATGAACCGACGTCGGGAATGGATCCGGCAGCCAGACGCACTCTGTGGAATATTTTGCAATCGGAACGGGAAGGAAGAACAATGGTAATGACAACGCATTTAATGGATGAAGCAGATTTGCTAGGTGACCGTGTCGCTATAATGAAAGCTGGTACTCTTTGTTGTGTCGGAACACCGTTTTCGTTGAAAAAAGAATATGGTAAGAATATTATATTATAATATAATTTTATTGCTAGTAAAAAAAATACTTTGAGATAATTTCAGGGTCTTAAATACAATTTTAATTAATTTTGTTATCACACGTCTTAAACAGGCATATATATGAAATAATAAAACAATTAATTTTGACTCAAAAAACTGCAAATATAAAGTATTAGTTTTAATTTATAATTTTCCACTCCTATGCAAACTAATACTAGAATAATTCAAATTACTTTTATGTTTTTAAAATTCAATAAAATATTGTCAAATATTACTCATTAACATTTTTAATAATCCATAAATAATAATTATTATTAACATACGATATTTATTCGTCTTATTACACATAGCGTATCTACTGTCAAAGACCGAAAAAGTATACATTTTTAAGATTATAGAATAAGGAATTAAATATTGTTTTTAAAGATAACACATTTTAATATTTTTTAGGCGGTGGTTATACCTTAACTCTCGTAAAAGATGTAGTCGGTTTCAGTTTGACTAAAGTAACCAATTTCGTTCGTAAATATTACCCGCATTCAGTACCAAGTAACCTGACCGTTATGGAAGTTACATATCAGTTAGAAGACTCATCGCTGTTTCCAGACTTGCTTAACTCTTTGGAGCAAACTAAACAGACGTTAGGAATCAAAGAATACGGAATAACTTTGACTACGCTGCAAGACGTATTCATGCGGTATGTGGACGAAACAGAAATAGTAAAACATTCAATAAGGGTTTATTTAATATGCGTTATTTTGTTGTCATTGCAGAGTCGGTCAAGAAGACAACAAGAAATTATCGGATTACCAGATGAATGCCATTAAACAAAAATCAATGGAATTGAAGAATCGTTTCGACACGTTGTTCTACGATGCCGAGTGCGATTCTACTGATTTTAAATCTGAAAGTAAGGATTTACGAAAAATAACGACCACTGTACGTTTCGTGTAACTTTGGTCATTACATTGTGTTTCATAACAGGGGCCAAAGGATGGAAATTATTCTGGATCCAAGTCGGGGCGATTATGGAAAAGAAATGCTTGCAGTCGTACCGTTCTCTGATATTGCACTCACTACAAATAACGCTAACGCTATTTTTCATATTCTTGGCATTACTGGTCGTTAACGCCTGGCAGGGTATGAAAGACTTGCCGGCTCTAGCAGCCGAGCTATCGGTAAGTAATGACAATTGTCGATCGAAGATTTCAATGACTATGATAATTTATTTTTCAGAACTATTGGGAACCTATCAGTACGGTCATGTTGTCCACCAATAACACGAAAATTGGTAATTTCTACGAATCATATAAGAACGCTTGTGCGCCAAATCCGGTTTTGGATTTGAATTACCGCACCACGGAAAACTATTTCGAAGACTTTTTACTACAAGTGGTGAGTTTTTGCCATCCACGGTTAATAATAATAGTAATATAATTTATTTGCTAACCACGTGCGGGAGTATCGTGATAAATACCTATTCCGTGATCACGTGAACCAAAAATAACGTCTATTATACCATTGTTATTTATCCTTAGGCCGCCGAAAAGATATCTCCGTTCACACAGAAGTACATTGTCGGCGCGATTTTCGGTGAAGATAGGATTACGGCGTATTTCAACAACCAGCCGTACCATGGTCCACCGTTGGCACTCAGCATGGTATATAATGCTATACTAAAAAGTTACAAAGGAGAAGATTACGGAATACACATAGTCAATCATCCACTGCCCTACCAAGGAGTGGATAAAGTAAGAAAATAGTATAGTTGATTTCGTCGATATAAAATTATACAGATGGAATTTTATCGTCCTCGTAGAATATTGAGTTTTTTCCACGTTATCAAACTAAACAACGGCTAATATCCTTAACAAAATAATGTCGATATATCGATAGTTTCCGGAAAAAAAATGTCGAGCACTATTTAATTAATCTCTCGTAATTCGTGAGTGCTAATATAAAAAAAAAAACGATCTATTATATTAAATCGGTCGAACGAAGTGGTACACTGTCAGTGTATTATAGGGATCCAGCAAAATGTCTATCTACTACAAATGCACTTAATGACTTCGATAATCAAATCATTGATGATACCTATAGTATTTTAAACCTATTGTTTTTTTTTTGTCATCTTGCAGCTGATGAAATTGACCGGAGGCAGTAATCTGGGTTACCAGGTGGCGTTCAACTGCGCCATTTCCCAAGCGTTCGTGTGTGCCGTGTACGTGCTATTCGCCGTCAACGAGCGACAGACCGGCGCTAAGCACATGCAACAGATCGCCGGAGTGAAACCACTGGCCTACTGGGGCGCGTCTCTGCTGTGGGACTGGATAAGTTACTTGACCGTCATATTCTCCATTCTGCTGTTACTCTTCTGGCACGGCGACCCGGGATACTCGAGCTTAAAGCAAATGGGTCAGTGTGACACCATAACATGTTACAGTAAAACCTCTGAATAGCGGACACTCACGGGACCGACCAAATTGTCCGCTATTGAGAGGTGTTCGCTATTGGGAAAAATTGATAGAATAATATGTATGTAACGGGACTATGCCGGGACCGGAAATTTTGTCCGTTATTGAGAGGTGTCTGCTAATTAGAGGTGTCCGTTAAGAGAGGTTTCACTGTATCATAATGTATTAAGGGGACGTCATACCCTTTCAAAATCTAATTAGGTGTTTAATGTCAACAACGCTAAAACATCGATTATAGAATATTTGATTTTGGCTTTTTTTAATGACATTTTACTACAATAATTAATGCTCAGCGGTTATAATAAAATAAAATCTCGAACACTCAACCCTACAATAATTTTACAAAAGTTATATCTAAGTAATTTCCATTAAAATGATCTTAGTGTACTTAAAAAAAACTTATCCAACCCTTACTTCTAGTAAAGTTAATTGGTAGACACTCCTTTCCATATTACCTTTTTAACTCTTAACACTCCTCCCCATATGAAATTATTTTTGTAACAAAAAAATTAAAATTACATAGTTACAAATTACCCGGTCACGATTTAATTACAAACAAAATTATCAAACATTTACCAAAAAAAAAAAAAAAAACTATAATCCTCTTCTTCTATATTGTTAATTTTGCATTTATGTTATCAACAAATCGTTATTGATCGTATTTGTCGAAACCGCAATAGGCAGCATCAGTCCTGAGCAAACAAAATATGAACGTTAAAGTAGTGAAAAAAATAAATAAAAATACCTAACTAACTAATGAATACAATTATATTATAGTTTTTGTTGTTTAATACGTAATATTCAGTGTATAAAACATTTTCAAACAGTTGTCATATATTTTATTAAAAATATTGCAATTTATAAATATTATATAATAAATAAGTTTTAAGCACAAATGTATATACAAGGCATAGAAACATGATGAAAGATTCCATTGACACCACTTAAAAACTGTTCTCAAAAAATTGAGATATAAGAATGTTAAGCTGAATTAAAGTAGGTCTTTAGTCTAGTTTGTTTAGTCAGAGTAAGAGTTATATAGAGTTAAGGGTATAGAGATTGATTATTAAAGGGTTATAATGGTTTAAATGCACTGTGTGGAGGTATGTT